TAAGATCATCCTCTTGTTCTAGAAAACAGCGTCTTAGCCCAAAAGGCTGGTACGACTTTGCAGCCCCTTGTCTGGTCCCTCCTGCTCAGCTCACAACTCATAGAAAAAGGTCAGCTTTTGTCCAGTCTCTCTCTCTCGTGCTCCTGACTCTTTCCTTCTCTGCCACGTGCCAGGCACCATTCATACAAACAGGAGAGGAGATGGGCACCACCCCTAAGCACAAAGTGTTGAAAGGAAGACTAGACACATAAAACTGTGATGCGGGTATTGACAAGAGCTGTGAGCTCAAGGACCAGAGGCAATCAGGAAAAGCTTTAAAGAAGAGATGATATTCATGCTGGGTTTTGAGAAATATGTAGGAATTTACCAGAAACTGAGTAGGAGGAAAGGAATTTCAGGAAACAATTACAGCCTAGGCAAAGGCCAGAGGTGTGAAAGACTACGGTGCTTTTGAAGAGGAGTAAGTCACCTGCATTTAGAATGTTCAGAATATAAAGGAATGGAAAAAGATTTTCTAGAAGACAGTGGGGAACCATCAAAGATTTTTCAGCATGCAAGCGACATGACCAGAGCTGTGTTCATCTTGTTAAAACACACACACACACACACACACACACACTTCAGCTGGATTAAATTTAAAAGTTTAATTGAACAATGAACGATTCGTGAATCGGGCAGCCTTCTGAGCCAGAGTAGGCTCAGAAACTCCAGTGCAGTCATGTGGTGGAAGAAGACTTAAGGACAGAAAAAGGAAAGTGACTTATGGAAAACAGAAGTGAGGTACAGAAACAGCTGGATTGATCACAGCTCGGCGTTTGCCTTATTTGAAGTCGGTTCGAACAGTTGGCCACATTTGATTGGCCAGAACTCAGTGATTGGCACAAGAGTAGGCTACAGTCTGTTTACACCTCCACTTGTTATAGTTTATGATATACAGAGAAACCTTTAGGCCAAACTTAAAATATGTAAGGAGGCAGCTTTCGGCTAAACTTGATTTAATCATCTCAACATACCTTCTCTTAGAAAATTTCATAATTCTTCCTAGTTAGAACTCACCAAACTGCTCAGAGCCACGAGGTCCTGGTTGCTAGCCTAGGAGAAGCGCCCAGGCTCCAGCAGATTGCAGTAGGGCTGCTGTGATTGACATTTGTGAATACCAGAGAAGGCCAGCCAGCATGCCTTCCAGGCATAAGTCACCCTTATGCCCATTTCTGGAGTATGCTTGAAAAATTATTTTTCAAAAACTCACCCAAGCGATGGGAATTAACACAAGTCGTTTCCCAGTGGAACTATGATTATTTTCTTCTCCTTTTCTATTCTCCAAATTTCTACTAGGCACAGTGCAGGCCCCCATTTCCTTATCCACAATACCAAAATCCAAAGAGCCCTGAAAAACAAAAGTTGGTTTGGTTTGGTTTTGATCCTCCAGAACTCACTTGGAAGCAAAGTGACCTGCACAGATGTGAGGCTATTTATAGTCTTTATGGATTCACTTGGTGTGAATATTCATATTTTGCTGCAGAAATACTAATGTGTTTGATGACAGGGTGCTGCCCCAGACCCTGCTGGGGGTGTTATGTAATTACGTAGCATATGCATCACATTACCTCTCTAAAATTAAATTAGAAACAAAAGCTTGCATTCCAAAACCAGTCAGCCCCCAGGGCTTTTAGATAAGGAACCGTGGGCCTGTATTACTTTTGTAAAGAAGGTAACATTTCATCTTACTTTAAAAACCAGACATCCGCCTATGCAAGGGGGTGGGCCCCCAGCAGAACAGGACAGCCCTGCCCTGTTTCTCTGGTCACCTGCTCTCGCATGGCTCTCGCATGCTCTGCTGTGGCTATTTTAAACCCTTCCAATCCTCCACACCCTCTGACCTTCCTTCCGGCATACTCATCCCTAGCAGATGATTTTGCCTCCTGCTTTACAGGGAAAACAGAAGCTGCCAAGAAACTCCCTCAGACGACAGAGACAGAAACCGACCATAAAACCTGCCTGCAGCTGCCCCATCCTGTCCTCCCTCCCTCCTCTCTCAAATGAGTAGCCCAAGGGTGGTCCTATAGAGGACAGCTTCCCCCAACCCCGCCCCGCCCAGCATCCCTACCCTCCAGCTTTTCAAGACACTCCATTGAAAGCAAAAACAAAAACGAAATCAAAACATACGAAAACACAACCCTTCGTGGATTTCGTAGCCTTCTTCTGATACTGTTCTTCTGCTCCTGATCCGAGGCTTGCTTCTCCGAGAACCTGCTTATCCACATTGCCTCCATTTCCTCCCCTCTACCTCTCTCCTTTCTTCACTTCCCCTGGCTTCTCACCAGGGAGCAACTCCGAGGAAGCCCCTGCAGCCTCCTGTGCCGACTCCCTCAGGGTCTGTCACTGGCAGCGCTGACCCTTCCTCCTCCGTGCTCTGGGTTTTCTTCTTGCCTCTGCTACTTCTTCTCTGACTCCCTTTCAGGAGACTCTCCCTCTTCCCTGCATTCAGTGTTGGAGATAGGAGCAGGCTCTTGCTTCTTATCCCTCTGTAACTATATAGCCACAGCCTCAGCTCCTGCCGGCACACCTGCTACTCAGAAAGTCTATCTCCAGCTTGCCTCTCTCTGACTCCAGGTTCATCTGTCCAGCGGACCACTTAGCATTTCGTTTTAGATGTCTTAAAGACACATTCAGCTCAACCTTTCTACAACTAATGTCTTGATCCTCCCTGCCCAACACCATCAACCTGTTCCTCTCCCACTGTCCCCATCTCCACCTGCTCAAGTATGCAGGCCGGAGACATGGCCCTCATCTCAGCCTCTCCCTCTCCAGCATCTCCCATCTCCAGTCCATCCCGAAGGTCTCCTTGGTTTGTCCTGCGAAGATCTCTCCATTGGCACCACCCGGCCCCTTAGCAAAGCCACTGTCCCCTCCAGCCTGGACCCCAGAAGCTGCTTCCTCGAAGGTCTTCTGCATCCACTTATTTCTTTTGGAAATGCACATGATTGTGTCGCCACTTCTTTAAATCCCTTGGTGGCTTCTCGGGTTACGTGCTTTCTTAGGGTAAAGACAAGATCTGTACAGGCCTTTGATCTAACTTCTCTCCTCTCCCAGCCCCACCTGTGCCGCCCCCACCTTGCCCTCACTGCTTCAGCCACCCTGGCACCTTCCATTCTCTTTTACACACCATCCTCTGTCCCATCTCAGGACCTCTGTCTACGCTTCTTCCCAAATGCTCTACCCTCCCCTCATGGCCTCACTTTCATCAGCTTTCAAATGTCAGCTTGAGGACCTCTTCCTCTGGGAAGCCTTGCCTGGCCTCCCAACTTGTCCAAATCCCCTTCATATGGGCTCTCGGAGCACTGGGTGCCCAGCCTTCACAGCCCTTGTCACATTTGCAATTTAGCATTTGTTCGTGGGATCATTTGACCAATGTGTCTCTCTCCAACTAGAGTGTAAACTCAGAGACCCTGCTTGCCTCTGTTCCCCATGGTCTCTGCATTGCCTGGCACCAGGCCTGGCCCACAGCAGGTGCTCAGAGATGGTGGCAGGTGGGCCCTGTGTCCTGGATGTTATTTAGGGCTGTGATATTAAAGATGGCTAAAGTCCAGATGGACCCTAAAGTCCAACACCTCACTGTTCAGATGTGGACTTACCCACAGGTACTCAGAAGGGGGGTGCCAGGACCCACACAGGGCTTGTCACCACAGGGAAGTGAACTCTCTAATTGGCTCCTTACCTCCTTAGTCTGTCTGGAGTGAGGTCACTTAGGTTCACCTCAGCAGCACAGGTTGCAGGGGAAAATGCTTTAAAGAGTATAAGTGATAGGCAAACTGAGTCAGGAGTTGGTGCTGGGGTCGGGGGTGGGGGCCTGGCCCAGAATATCTATATTTTAGTAACCACTCTGCCCCGGCTAACCAGCTCCATTACCTTGAGCAAGCAATTTCATCTTTAGGGTCTCAGTTTACCCTTTAAAAATGTGAATAGTAATCCTTGCTTCCTGCACCCCCACAAAACACAAAACACCCTGTCCTGACTAGGCCAGCATCATTCTGTTAGGATTGAGTGCCACTATGTACAGGCATTACTTGTTGCTATACATTTGATCCTCACATTCACTCAGAGCCTCTATTACTATTCCCTTTTTTCAGATGAGTAAACTGAGGCTCATAACACAGTCACTGCCACTTACTGAAGGCTTCATAGCCATTTAAACATGGGAGTCAGGATTTGGATCTGGATCTGTCTGAGACTCTAAAGCTCCATGCTGGGTCCAAGGCTTGGTCCCTGCCCCAAGGAACAAACAGTAAAAGGAAAATGGGTTGGAAATTGCTGCATGCCATCCAAATGCTGTTGCAGTTCAGGCTCCTGTCAGGTGTGAGGGCAGATGGAGGCTTAGGCGGGGGCCCTTTCTCCAGGAATTGTCTAGGCTCTGTGCTTCCGCTTGGGTGGTGGTGGGGAGAAGCAGGTGGTTTGTTTTTTTTTTCCTTCCATGAGGTAGAGGAGTTTGAGGTGGAGAAGGCATCATGGACATTCTGGTATCCTCAGTTTCCTTGTGCTGCTGTGCAAGCTGTTCACTGCAGGACTCTAGGAGGCATCGGTCACACCGTAGTCTAAGTGAATGGCACTCTCTAGAGCTGTGCACTATATGACCGTATGTGATGGCCTTGATGATGTTCCTTAGTATGATGGCTGCATGGTAAGCCATGGTAGCAGTTAAATTACTATGGAAGCACTCGGCATGTATGTTGTCTTACCAGGGCTTCACAATCATCCTCTGAAGTTGATACTCTTGTGATCTGTGTATTGGGGAAACTGAGGCTCAGAGGAGTTAGGGAAATTGCCCAAGTTCACACAGCTTCTTACCACTATGGGCTGCTGCCTCTGAACCCTGTTGAGGCTGAGAAAGGGGGTGTGCATGTGAGAAAGGGGGTGTGCATGTGAGAAAGGGGGTGTGCACATGAATAAAACCATCTTCTCTGTGTCTCTTTTCTTCCTCCTGCCTTGGTCCTCTGCCATAGCTGGACAAGATGCTGGACCCCCAGGTGTGGCGGGAGGCAGCCACCCAGGTCTTCTTTGCCTTGGGCCTGGGCTTTGGTGGTGTAATTGCCTTCTCCAGCTACAACAAGCAGGACAACAACTGCCACTTCGATGCCGCCCTGGTGTCCTTCATCAACTTCTTCACGTCAGTGTTGGCCACCCTCGTGGTGTTTGCTGTGCTGGGCTTCAAGGCCAACATCATGAATGAGAAGTGTGTGGTCGAGTAGGTGGCATCTCTCCTCCTGTCCCTCCTTCTCCCTGTCTACCTTACTTGGGAGTAGGGGGCGGGTGTGTGCATGGGGAGAGACATCCCCTCCACTCAGGCTGAGGAATGGAGCTCAGAGGAGCATTCTGTCCCCACCAGCTCTGGGCCACAAGGACAAGCTCAGAAATGCCTCTGTCGGTGGCCCATGAGGGTCCCACCTGGGTGCCTGGGAGGAGCCTCCAGGATCTCACCCATTGCCCATCCCTTCCTTCTTACCTGGCTCCCTCGGTTTTGTGCTGCAGGAATGCTGAGAAAATCCTAGGGTACCTCAACTCCAATGTCCTGAGCCGGGACCTCATCCCACCCCACGTCAACTTCTCCCACCTGACCACAAAGGACTACATGGAGATGTACAACGTCATCATGACCGTGAAGGAAGACCAGTTCTCAGCCCTGGGCCTTGACCCCTGCCTTCTGGAGGACGAGCTGGACAAGGTGCGGGGATAGGCTGCCCTTCCCAGGACAGGCAGGAACCCAGAGAGCAGCTGTCGCTGGCTGGAGCTTGGGCTCAGGCCTCAGGATGCTGACAGGTAGTCATTAGTTTACTTAGTAAGCAAGGATCTGCTATGTGTCCAGAGGGAGTGAAAGGGAAGAAAGGTATTGGCCAAAGTCCCTGCCCAGAGGTAGGCTTGAGCCTAGACAAGGAGTAGGGCAGACACACACCTCTCAGAAGTCACAGTTAAGTGTATGGGACGATGTTTCCATTTACTGAGTGGGCTTCTCGTGCACCATCACTGCCATAGGTAATGCACTCAGAACAGTGCCTTGACTTGGTATGCATCAAAGAAGCGTTGAAGTTAGTGTTTGTCCGTTGCTATCTATCTCCTTTGATGCTCAAGGCAGCTCTATGAATTGAGTATTCATATTGTTCCCTACTTTACAGATGAGTAGCCTATGAGGTGGGGGGCTTGATCAAGGTCTCACAACTAGTAAGTGAGAGAGGCAGGGTTCAAATCCAGTTAGTTGGGTCCAGAGCCCATGCTCAGAACCACCCCTTCATGCTTCTAGCCCTCACCCCGCTGTCCCCATTCCAATCTCACTGCCACGATGATACTTAGACTTTAGGGTGGTGCTGGGGGTGCTGACTCCTCCTTAATGCTCAGGCCCAAGTTAGGACACCTTGCTTCTATTTATACTTACATAGCTGGACACTTTCAAAATGACTGTTCTCTTAGAAGGGGTAACAGGAAAGGGACATACCCACAGCGTCTTCGGAACCAGGCTGGAGCCAAGACTCACATGGGGCAGAGCCAGCTCCTGTCAGCCTGGGTCAACCCTGTCCTTCATGGGACCGGGGAAGAGGGTGCTTTCCCTGGGCTCCATGTTAAAAGTCAGCTCCATTGGACTGGCACCGTCCTAATGCTATGGGAGCTGCATCCTGCACCCTGATCCCTTCCTCGGGGATCAAGAGCAAGAGAGCCCAATCTCGGGTCCCCTGCCCTGGTTTCTTCCCCAGGTGACTGGCAGCATAAAGGACCTCCCCTTTTCACGTTCTCTAAAACCCTGCCCAGTTCTCATGGGCATGGCCTGGTTCTCTGAATAAAACTAAATTTATAGCAGTGTTTTCATAAAATACAACTCCGATAGCATTCAAATGACAAGAATTATACACTCACTCAGTGGGGAAGAAATGTTCCCTTATAATCACTGAATATTACAGGGCAATGTATAAGTGACAGGGGGCAGTGTGTGTCACCTGAGCCACAAGCATGGCCCAGTCATTAAAGCGGTGATTCTCTACCTTGGCTACCCATTAGAGTTCCTGGGTTTTATTTGTTTTTGCTTTAAAAAAAAAAAAAAACAAGTCCGACACGCAGCTTCACCCCAGACCAGTCTAGTCATTGTCCCTGGGGTGAAACCCAGGTGTCGGTGTTTTTAAAGGCTCCAGCGTGCCTCCATTGAGAGCCGAGGCTGAGACCACTGCATGAAGATCTGCAGTTCCGAAGTTCTGAGCTGGGAACGGCCACAGTGTGGCTGGAGCAATCAGGAAAGACGTCTTAGAGGAGGAGGGTCCTGAGCTGATGTATTTCTAAACATGAGCATCTTCATCTGAATCACCTAAGCTCCTGGTACAACCTGTAGATTCTAGGCCCCATAGGTGAACTCTCAAGTTGGTGTTTTTGAGCTACCTCTAGGGGATTCCAATGCCTGCTAAAGTTCGAGACCCACTGGCCAAAATCAACAGGATTTAGGTGGAGGTGGGAACCCCTGTGAAAGAGGGAATAGTTATTCCAAAAGTTCGAAGGGCAGAGGAAAGGCAGCAGCAGTCTCCCCCGGGAGGGGTGACCTCACAGGTCCTGCTTTCCACCCCGCCTTCAGTCCGTGCAGGGCACAGGCCTGGCCTTCATCGCCTTCACTGAGGCCATGACGCACTTCCCCGCCTCCCCATTCTGGTCCGTCATGTTCTTCCTGATGCTCATCAACCTGGGCCTGGGCAGCATGATCGGGACCATGGCGGGCATCACCACACCCATCATCGACACCTTCAAGGTGCCCAAGGAGATGTTCACAGGTAACTCCTCCCTGCCCCCACGCCCGGGCTCTGCAGGCTGCCCTTGTGGACAGCAATCCCATTCTGGCTTCTGACTGGGTCCTTCATGACCCCACACCCAGAAGGCTCCACCCCGCACTGGGACACAGCTGGAGCCTGGCTGTGCCACTCAGTGACGAGCACTCAAGCCAGGAAGAGAAAGCTACTTGGAAATGTGGAGCAAACATGAGCTGGGAGGCCTGCACCTAGGCCCCTTTGTTGGTTCACTTACCCCTCTCCCCAAGGGTCTGCTGAGTCATCTCAGGCAGGGGTGCTGAGTCGTCTTGGGCAGGGGCGCTCACTGGCCTTGCGCCCTATTCCATCTTTGTCACTCTGGTCCCGGGTTGTGTCCACAGTTCCCTTCGGGGTCTGCTGAGTTGATATAGGGCCCATACAGGGATACCTCTCACCTGCATCCCTAGAGCGGGTATCTTTCTGTTCTCAAATGGGGAAACCGAGGTGGAGAAAAAGACTGGGAACAATCAGATGAATCATTTAAGTTAAATGCAGCAATTAAGTAGAGCACCTGCCACGGGCCAGGCACTGTGCTGGGGCAGAGGCATGGGATGAAAGTTAGACACAACACCTTCCTCAGTTGCTCCCCGACTAGTAGAGCGGGGCTCAGAACCTGAGCATCTGGATCCCTCGTGCAGGACTGGGCCTGCTGGCAGAGGGCTGCAGGCATGCGTGGGGGAGGGATGTGATGGGAGGGGCCTGGGTGCCCCAAGACCCCCAGGGCCCCACCCACCCTGCACCTTTGCCCCCACACCGGCCTCCCGGCTCTCTGTAGTGGGCTGCTGTGTCTTTGCATTCTTCGTGGGGCTGTTGTTCGTCCAGCGCTCCGGAAACTACTTTGTCACCATGTTCGATGACTACTCGGCCACCCTGCCACTCACTCTCATCGTCATCCTTGAGAACATCGCTGTGGCCTGGATTTATGGAACCAAGAAGTAAGGGGGACATGGGGGAAATGTGGGACGGGAGGAGGGGTCTGTCCTGTCATGACTCCCTGGAGAGGCAGATTATAGAGTCACAATGGCAGAGCTGAAAGTGCCCTTACAAGTCATTTAGGGAAATCGAGGCATACTGCAAGGACGTGGCTGCCTAAGGCCACTTGTCCAGGGAGAAACAGAGCCAGTCTGAGGACTGCGTGTCCTGGGTGCAGGTCCTGGCATCATCCTTAAATTACCATAGCACCTTTCCTGGGTACCAACTCTTCAGAATTCTGTTAAGTTTTTATGAAGGGCTTAGTGGGTCTACAATAGGCCCTTGCCCTTGGAGAACGTGTAGACTTCAGCAGCCTGTTCACAGTTGTAAGGGCCTAGATAGGGGTATGAGATGAGGTGTGGTTTTGGCCCCAAGTCTGGGGTCGTGCAGAGTAAGAGGATTCAGCCCTAAGAAAGGATTGGGTCTCACAGCCTAAGCCTAGGGCAGTTGTACGCTTACTGTAAGCTCTTGGCCTCATCCCTCATGTTAGGGTAAATACGTGTTCCCAGGAGTTCTAGAACTACATCTCTCTGACTCACTTAGCATCGACCGTGACCACATTGTCCTTGTCCTTGGCAAGACCCACCTCCACTAACCCTCTCGGTCTGACCCTCCCTGATGCCTGGACCTGGTTTGGCAGTGGGGCTCTTTCACAGGGGCCGTCTGCTTCCTGGGAGAGCACAGGAGGGGACAGGGAGTGGGGGAAAGGACACTCCTCTGCTTCCACCTGCTGTGGGCCAGGGCTGTAAGACACTGCCACAAGGGACTCTGGCTGATTTTTGTGTCCCGGACTCCTTCAGCAGTCTGGTGATGTTCCTGTACTTCTGTTATTTTAAATGCATAAGATAAAATGTGTAGGATTATATAAGAAACTAATAATATTGAAAAATAGCGAAATATTGTTTAAAATCTGTGATATAGTAATTATGAGCACTTTATTTTTAATGCATTGTTACAAGATCTAGCTATAGATCTAATAACAATAGTAACTTTGAAGTAGTGACGAAAATCAACAATGACGCTATCTTCAATAGCTGGGATGTAATATGAAAATATCTGTAATCTATTGGCGACAGTCACGGGTATTGTTAATACTACTGTGGTTGCTTGCATTCATAATATAATAGAAAGTAATGCAATATTTCAGTTAGGGGTTACTGAGGTAAAGATGATTCTTTTGTATGCCATTCAAGCACAAACCTGCCGGCCGTCGGAATTCTGCTCACCCCTTGGTGAGAAACCTTTGAAAGTCAGGGCAGCTCTCTACCTTTGGACTCTAGAGAAGTGCACTTCTACTGCTTTTCCAGCAAGGGGAGCCTTCAGCCAGGCCAGTGTGAAAGGGCTAGGCACTCCCTGAACACACAAGCTGTCTATACATAAAACAGACGTGCACCTGCCCAGGGTGTGTCTGCTGGGTCCTATCATATCTCTGGATGGGGTGTGATGTGACGGAATCAGAGGAGGTTAGAGGAGGACAGTAGAGCCTTCCCAGGGGCCAGGCAGACCACACACAATGAGCACTGAATGTGAAGAACAGAAGAGCCCAGGAGGGAGGGACTGGGAAACGAAGACTTTCTGGAGGAGATGGTGAAGGGGGAAGAGGGAGGTGTGACTGAGGGATGCCAACTGCTGGACCCTCTGCTATGCCTGGCAGGTTCATGCAGGAGTTGACGGAGATGCTGGGCTTCCGCCCCTACCGCTTCTATTTCTACATGTGGAAGTTCGTGTCTCCACTATGCATGGCTATACTCACCACAGCCAGCGTCATCCAGCTGGGGGTCACGCCCCCGGGCTACAGCGCCTGGATCAAGGAGGAGGTAAGAGTTGGGGCCCCAAACCCCAGGGACATTTGCATCTTCTCAGGCCTTTAATGCAACCGCAGATAGGGATACACCTTTCTAGGGCAGGTGCTGTGTGCCAGGCCCTGCCAGGTGCCTCACACCTAAACCACAATCCTACAACAGCCCAAAGACAGAGGTGGCATCATCCCTGTAGCACAAATGGGGACACGGAGGCTTAGAAAGATTAATGCACTTATCCAGTCTTTCTAACCCATATTCTCTCTCCATGCCTGTGGAGTGGAATTAGTTCATTTTATAATAGTAGAAATCACCCTAGACCCTTTCACCAAGGTGACCAGGTAAACCCCTGTCAACCCCCATCCTTGGCTGTGCCTGGCCAGGATGGTGGGAGGGGAGAGGAGTGGAAGGCCATGGGTGAGGGCAGGAGAGCAGTCTTGGAGGGTTTGGGAGGGGAGGGCTGTCACAGTGCCGGCAGCAGCCCTTAAGGCAGCCCACCCGCAGGCGGCCGAGCGCTACCTGTATTTCCCCAACTGGGCCATGGCGCTCCTGATCACCCTCATCGTCGTGGCGACGCTGCCCATCCCTGTGGTGTTCGTCCTGCGGCACTTCCACCTGCTCTCTGATGGCTCCAACACCCTCTCCGTGTCCTACAAGAAGGGCCGCATGATGAAGGACATCTCCAACCTGGAGGAGAACGATGAGACCCGCTTCATCCTCAGCAAGGTGCCCAGTGAGGCACCTTCCCCCATGCCCACTCACCGTTCCTATCTGGGGCCTGGCAGCACATCGCCCCTGGAAACCGGTGGTAACCCCAATGGACGCTATGGGAGCGGCTACCTCCTGGCCAGCACCCCTGAGTCGGAGCTGTGACCACTGCCCCAGCCCTGCCCGCCTCTCCCCCCACACTCAACCTGCCCACTCGTCCAGGCCTGGCCTTTTCCTCGAGGTGGCCACCAGGCCCAGGCCAGGCCCTTTGCCCAAGAAGAGAGGGTCTGCCCTGCCTCACTCCCCTCTTCAGTCCCAGAAGACTCTGCTCCCTAGCCCTGAGCAGGAGGCTGGGAGCAGCTCTGTTTCCCAATTCAGGACCCCACTCGTCTAGCCCTCCAAGAGCCTCCGCCAGATTGCAGCCATGTAATTGGAACAACCCATCACTCCGGCTTCCCAGTCCCTGGGAGATTCCAAGTGGCCACTGCAGGAGTCACTCACCTCCCTCTCTTCCTGTAACTTGCCACCTGCAGTTCTTAGGGCTCTGGGGTGCCCTGAGCCACCCGATGGTGGTGGTGAGAGGCCTTGGGGCCGGGGAAGGAGAGTGGACTTTAGCTCACTCTGCCATGAGAGCAGGACACCATCCTCCCCAGCCCAGACGGAGTTGCTCCTAGTCTAAGAGGCTACCTGCTTGAAGGCAGAAGGGCTCAGGGCTCAGAACTGGGAGGGCGTAGGCAGAAGCCCCAAGTTCTGTTGTCAGAGGTGGGTGCTGCCCTCGGCTTGAGCATGAGCCTTGGTAGCAGAAGGTGAGGAACATCCTCTGCCCTGGTCCCTGGGTGGAATCTTCCCATGTCCTTGGCCCTGGCTGGGGTGGGTGGTGTGTGCTCCTGCATCTTGTCTGGGAGTGCAGTGACTGGGACCAGAACCTCCCCCACCTCAATTAGGGCCTAGCCATCTCCCTGTCCCCAGCACCCCTCCCCAGCCCACAGTGGTGGCCTCTGCCTCTCTCCTGGAGACAGAAGGAAACGGTGCAAGGAGAGGTTTCCAGAGCACACATTGTTGGTTCCCAGCACAAATTAGATAGTTTGGAGCACAATTGTGAAGCACACTTCCCGCCCTCCTCACCTGGGGTCCAATGTTCTGTCTAGTGGCAGCTTTTCCCCTGGAACAGGGGTCCCCGGAGTTCAGGGGCTTATCCCCAGGAAGCCTCACTCCTGGGGAAAGACAGATAATTTCACTGCCCCTTTGAGCCGCCACTCACTCTCCTTATTACACAAGCACAGCCACCCAGTGTGCACATCATGTACAGACACCTTGGAAACCTTTCCCAAGCCTTCCTGGCCCATAGTGGCCAGTACCACAGGCAATGCTGTGGACAGTAGAGGCTGCCAAAGGCAAGGGCTGGTCTTCAGAATGGAGGCCAGCCTGTGCAGAAGGCTGCAGCTGACAACAGCGACCCCACCCACCATTACCTTCAGGGCCTCCTCTGGAAGAGAACCCATTCTCAGAGTGCAGCCAGGGAGGAACCTGACCCAAGAATTAATGTCTGCAGAGGGATGGATGGATGGATGGATGGATGGATGGATGGATGGATGGATGGATGGATTGGGGGGTGGGGTTGGATGGGTGGATGGATGGATGGATGGATGGATGGGGTAGGGGAAGGAAGGAAAGGAGGGAGAAGAGGGAATACTGGCTCCATCTTTCGGAGAACTCTGGTGGGCAGGGCAGAAACAGGCCACAGTGCTCAACCCAGACACCCTCACAAAGGGTCCCAAGTCACTCTTGTAGCTCAGATTGCTCTTAGGACCTGGAGGGACAGACCAGAATCAGGGTGCCCTCCTTCACCCCCGAGTTCCTTACTGTCCCCCCAAGCCTGGGAGTGGTCTGTCCCCCAGCCCTGCCATCTCCCTTACACATCCCTCTTCCACACCTTCCCCTTTCTAGCCCCCTCTGCCCTACCTGTCTTTCCTGAGTGTTTGAGGGGAGAGAGAGACCCACCTCTCAAAGAGATGAGCTTTTGGGGCACAACATCCCACCATAGGCCCCCTCACCTGACCACACCTCCTACCTGGCCCCTTGCCAAATCCCAAGCAGAATTAGCAACAGGAAAAGCAAAGCCCCAGGAGAGACACTCTACTATATATACTCTTCTATATATTCTGTTTCTATTGTATATTCACTCTGTACATGTGGGTGTAAATGCTGTTAAATGACAAACCCAATATTATACTGTGGCTGGTGGACTATTTTCATCCTCAGTGCTGTACAGATCTATTTTCATTGTATATTTGATATATTTTTAATTTTGTAGCGTGTGGCTGGGCCAGGCCCCAGCGGGAGGGGCTGAGCTGGGGCTGTATGCTTGCTAGGTGTGGGCGCGCTAGTGCTCCCTGTAGCTTTTGCTGTGTCTTCGCTGTGTGTTAGACGTAGGGCCCAGAGCTCAGGGTGTGTGTGTGCGTGCGTGTGTGTGTGGTGTGCACATACGTGAGTGTGGGTGTGTGTAGCGTGCTGATCTGTGACTCCCAGTGTTCACCACCTTCCTGAAGACCACGCTCCCTCCCCCTGCCTCCTCCTCCTCTATCTATCGGGAGCCTCAGGGCCGGCAGGGTGCCTCGGGAGCCCCCTGCTATGGGGAAAGGCATGTGTTTCTTGCTGGTGACTCATTGCCTTCACACCACTGGGTTTGCCAGAAACAGGGAAGGAGGGCGTTAGGGGGAAAAAAAATCCTCAAATGTATTTACCAGTCAGCTTCTTGCTGTTCCCAGTAGAATCGCTAGCTCTTCTCCAGAGGAAAAGTACTAGGATTCTTAAGATGGCGAGACCCCAAGAGGGATCTCACAGCACTGCTGCATTTGCCCTTGATGCAGTCCTGACAGTGTTTGGAAAGGGCCGCCTGCCCCCTCCCCACTGTACTTCTGACGCCTTTGGAGTCAAAGGCAGGTGGGGTCACCTGATGAGCTAAGATCCAGCCCCAGAATCCTGGAGGAGCAGGAGAGGACCAGGTCCCCAAGTCCTTTCACAGGGTCCCCACCCCCACTGGCTTTGGTGCTGTCCAAACAGTGCCCACCAGAAGACAGAGGGAACTCCAGGGCAGGGATGTGCCTGAAAGAGTCAACAGTCTCCTGATCCCTTACCTGTGCCTGCCCTCCAGCCCCATCACCAGCTTCTTGCTCAGGGAGCCTTCTGCCCTCCTCACTGAGGCAGCATGAAGCCCGAGGCCCAGATGGGGGCTGAACAGGTAGGGCACATCGGTGAATGCCAGTGAGGTCGGCTTCTGCCCTCCAGCAATACATGTGCAGGGGCTGCTTCTTTCCCAGTGCCAGGAGAACCCCCGCTCTGAGTCAGCCTGTGTGGGTCATGGGACTGGGACGCAGGAGCCATGGTCTCAGGCACTGCACAGGTCTACGGTATTACCAGGCAGAAGGGCTGCTTTCCTGCCCTTCCTCACCCCAACTTCCCCATCCCACTCCCCCAGAGTACTCCCCACTGTGAAAAGAGCTGGAAACTGAACCAGTTAGAATGAACCTGACTCCCTGAGCACCCCTGTATCCTTCAAATAGGCCCTGAGATGTGAGGTCTGCTGCTTCACTGGGGCCTGATGACTTCGGCTGGGGGAGGGGGCCTAGGGCCCCTTCTCACTGAAAGCTCTGCTTTGTACAGACCCAAGCACAGACACCAGGCTGTCACTTTGGGTTCTGGCATAAGTTCAGAACAATTCAAGTCCCTGTGTCCCATGGCTGGTCAGAGCCCTGGGTCAAAACCACTCAGCCCAGGGGAGGGGATGAGGCATTGTCACCCTAGACCCCTCTTCCTCTCTCCCCCACCATGGTGTGCAATAAAGTGTCTGTTCTTACCAAACCCTTCTTGCCTTTCTCACCTGCTCTTGCAATGAGGGAGAGGGATGGGTGGCCAAGGATCCTGTGGGAAGCTCTGGGGGGAAAAGCTTGGACTGGGATGGGTGGACAGGACTGCTGAGGGGTTTGTGGGTGCTGGCTGGCTGAGGAGCAGCGCGGGAAGTGTGGGCAGGTTCACCTCTGTATTTTCCTAGGAACTGTCATAGGTATTAATAATGCATACACTTCATCCTGGCTAACACGGTGAAACCCCGTCTCTACTAAAAAATACAAAAAAGTAGCCGGGCAAGGTGGCGGGCGCCTGTAGTCCCAGCTACTCGGGAGGCTGAGGCGGGAGAATGGCGTCAACCCGGGAGGCGGAGCCTGCAGTGAGCTGAGATCCCGCCACTGCACTCCAGCCTGGCAGAGCGAGACTCTGTCTCAAAAAAAAAAAAAAATAATAATAATAATAATAATGCATACATTTGCAGAGGGCCCTACTGGGGTCCAGCGATTCCACGTATCTAATTTCTTGTCATCTTTGCAACCATTTCCTGAGGGAGATCCTTTGCTGTCTAGATTTTTCCAGGTGAAACTGCATCTGAAATGAGGATGGTATTTGGTGGTCTTTTTTTAAGGACCTTTTTTTTTTTTTTTTTTTTTAATTCCTTTTTCATTTGTTTCAGTGTGACTTCTGGCTCTGTCGCCCAGGCTGGAGTGCAGTGGCTGGATCTCAGCTCACTGCAAGCTCCGCCTCCCGGGTTTACGCCGTTCTCCTGCCTCAGCCTCCCAAGTAGCTGGGACTACAGGCACCCGCCACCTCGCTGGGCTAGTTTTTTGTATTTTTTTTTAGTAGAGACGGGGTTTCACCATGTTAGCCAGGATGGTCTCGATCTCCTGACCTCATGATCCGCCCGTCTCAGCCTCCCAAAGTGCTGGGATTACAGGTTTGAGCCACCGCGCCCGGCCTTTTAAGGACCTTTAACCACCTTAAGGTAGTTAAAGTTTTCTCTGTAGGGAAAACTCCTGTCCCGCCTGACTGCCAGGAAAAGCCATACTTGTCAGCCTGGCAAGGGCAGGGTGTGTGGAGGCCCACCCCAGGGAAGGACAAGGGTGGGAAGGTGCCAGTGTTCAGAGGTCTGAAAGCGAGGACTAGGAGGCAGGGGACTCCTGGGTGCTGCGGGGTGGACTCCCCTGGAACAGGCATAAAGTTCTGCCCCTCTCTTCGATAGCTATCCCTTTTGCAAACTTCAGTAGAAGGTAAAGATGAACTAGGGGATCTGACATCACCCCGTTCTAACATTCCAGCCCCAAGTATTCACTTATTAAACACCCACTGAATACTCAGCACTGTGAAGAACGGAATGTGCTGGGGCCTGGGGAAGCTCTTCTTCCTGCCTCACCCTCTAGGAGCACCGACATTGAAAGAGGCAAGAAGTCAGACTCCTGGAGGAGGCCTCACCCCCACCCCACCCAGCTCCAGGCTGGAATGATGCTGCTTGCACTCACACACACACATACACACACACACAGCCAAGGACCCTGACGAAACCTGTCATTTTCTTCTCTTGCCATAGAAAGTGTTGTTCCAGGAATAGCCACCAGATGGCAGGAAAAACCTTTCTTTCTTTTTTTTTTAAAAAAATTATTATTATTATACTTTAAGTTCTAGGGTACATGTGCATAATGTGCAGGTTTGTTACATATGTATACTTGTGCCATGTTGGTGTGCTGCACCCATCAACTCGTCAGCACCCATCAACTCATCATTTACATCAGGTATAACTCCCAATGCCATCCCTCCCCCTTCCCCCCTCCCCATGATAGGCCCCGGTATGTGATGTTCCCCTTCCCGAGTCCAAGTGATCTCATTGTTCAGTTCCCACCTGTATGAGTGAGAACATGCGGTGTTTGGTTTTCTGTTCTTGCGATAGTTTGCTGAGAATGATGGTTTCCAGCTGCATCCACATCCCTACAAAGGACACAAACTCATCCTTTTTTATGGCTGCATAGTATTCCATGGTGTATATGTGCCACATTTTTTTAATCCAGTCTGTCACTGATGGACATTTGGGTTGATTCCAAGTCTTTGCTATTGTGAATAGTGCCGCAATAAACATACGTGTGCATGTGTCTTTATAGCAGCATGATTTATAATCCTTTGGGTATATACCCAGTAATGGGATGGCTGGGTCATATGGTACTTCTAGTTCTAGATCCTTGAGGAATCGCCATACTGTTAGGAAAACCTTTCTCACCAGATCGTAGCCTGCTTGCCTTCCTTTCCTCTCCATCATTTATTCCTTTGTGGGTCAGTTTATTTGTTGAACAAACATTTATTACGTACCCACCCTGGACAGGCTCCATGCCAGCTATAGATGAATAAAGATAAAATCAGCCCCTGCTGTCCTGAGTTTGGCAGAGGGAGGGGCCCTGCCCTATGACTCCACATCTCCCCATGTATCTTTCAAACCGGGAAATGGCCTGGTGCTGGAAAAGTCATTCCTTGTAAAGTATCAGTCTTTTGGTTGAAGATAATGTTTTTGGTTGAGATGTGAGCCCTTCTGCCAGGAGAGGCACACAGACCTGCCAAGATGCAGCATAACAAGGGATTTGGTTCGAAGGAGCTCTAGAGTCATACTTCTCAAGTTCAAGTTCAAATGCCACCCAGCTTCCTGCTTCCTGGGAGGCCTTGAGCAAGTCACGTAATCCCTCTGAGCTTAAATGTCCTAGTCTGTAAAACAGAGATAATAGATTCAGTGAGATAACACATGTTGGTCCAGTTATCTATTGCTGTATTCCAAGTTACCCCAAATCTGAGTGGCTTAAAACAACCATTCTATCACGCAGTTTTGTGAGTAAGGAATTCAGGCAGGACTTGTCTGAGCAACTCTTTTGGTGGCAACCGAGGTCACTCAGTGATATTCAACTAGCAGCGAACTAGTCTGGAGGGTCCAAGGCAGCTGCCTTCACATTCACTCAAATGCCTGGCACTCCAGTGAATGGCTGGAAGACTGGGTTCAGCTGGGCCTGCCGGCCAGAGTGAGCAGCTACCACTGCCTCTCCAGCATGGCAACTCGGCCAGACTTCTGACTGAGGGGCTCAGGGTGCCCAGAGAGACCATCTCAAGAGACAGGAGGTGGAAGCTGCCAGGTTCTTAAGGCCTGGGCCTGGAAAATGGCGCAGTACCTCCACCATCTTCTGTGGGTCACAATATCTGCCCAAATAAAGGGGAGGGCACACAGAAGCCCTCACTTGTTGATGGGGGAGTGGGGAAAATCTGGCTGCCCATGTTATGGGCCGATTCTGGAGTGTTAGGGATCTTTGTCATCAGTCACCAGCACCTGGGCGGAACTTCCTCCTGAGGGGCTATCAGCTTAGAGACACAGAACTGGACACACAACAAGTCATTTCTGGTGGGGAGGTGAGTGGCTAAGTTTGGGCCCTGGGTGGAGGGAGCAGTCAGGGAGGAGGATGAGAAGGGCATGCGGGAGGACACGTGAGGCCGCTGCTTCTGCCTCAGGTTTGCCCCAGGGCAGGTGGCATGAGTGGTTTGAATCATGGGTCTGTTACCAACCATACCACCTTGGGGAAGCCACTTAAACCCTGGAACCTCCATTTTCTGATCTGTAAAAGGAGGACGACAATAAAATATCTTCCTTAGAGATGGTATGAGGGAAAAATGAACTTCATCAGTAACATCTACTGGAATACAGTATCGACTTCTTTCTATATGGGGATACAATAGGTGCTCATTAAATATTTCCTCCTTCTTGCCATCCTGGGCAAGGCCATGGGGCCTGCTTCATTCTGGGGCCCCATCACCCATGCAATGAGCCATCTCCTAAAGCTATTCACAAAGGACAGTTTCAGCCTAAAATCCAGAGAAGCCAAGGAAGGAGGGGAGGAAAGGAACTCTCTCCAGGAAAGGGAGTATCAGAGTGTGGGGGTCTCACTGATCCTGTACATTATCGTGTTCACCCCAGCAGTCACCACCAGACAGCTCCAGTCATAGGGACTTGGGCCAAGGCTAAAGGATTCCACAGACCACAAGGCTATGGTGGGGTTTTCTTTTTGTTTTCTTTGTTGTTGTTGTTTTAACAAAGAAAAGGCCCCAAATTCTTTTTAATACTTCTCCCATCAAAAGTGGAGTCTATCCTCCTCCTCTTGAATCTGGGTGAGCAAATGCCTCCTCTGACCAACATGGTATAGCAGAAATGATGCTATATGACTTCCAAGGCTAGATTCGGAAAGGCCGTTCCACTTCCACCTGGTGTTCTAGGGATACTGGTTCTAGAGGCAGCCAGCTGCCATGTAAGACGGCCAACCGCCCTGAGACTGCCATGGTAGAGAAGCGATATGTTTGCAGATGCTTAAGTTGACAGCTTCAGCTGAGCTTCGAGCCAACAGCCAGTGTCAACTGCCAGCCACATGAACACATCATACTGAACGTTTAGCCCAGCTGAGCTTCAGATGTTTGCAGCCCGCTGTCATCTGATTGTAGCTGCACGAGACCCTAATCAAGAACTGTTCAACTGAGCCCTTCCTAATTTCCTGACCCATAAAATAGTGAGCAAAATAAAATGACTGTTGGGTTTATACCACTACATACTGGGGTAATTTGTTTCATAACAATAGTAACCAGAACATGAACCTTACGGATTATCTGGCCAAACCTCCTTGTATAACAATGGGGAAAACTGAGGCCCAAAGAGTAAAAGACCAGATTTCCCACAACCAAGCAAGGGGAAGACTGGGGGCCAGTGCCTGGGTTTCTTGACTCCCAATCTAGTGCATTCTCTGCCACACAGCAAGAAACCGACAGGGAGGACTCCTCCCCGGCCACCCCCCGCCTCATTAATTCCATGCATCAAGCAAGCATGAATCAGGTATTCTGAGTGCCTGGGATTGTGCTGAGCACTGGGAATATACAAAGGACTAGGCAAGAGTCTCTGGCTCGCAGAGGCAGTCACAATCTGACTTGGGTGTCTCCCCTCCTGGCACACTCACTGGTGCCAGGCACGCTGCTGCATTCTTTACTTACATCATCTTAGGTAGGAAGAAACCTGTGAGATGGGAGACTATGCCTGTCATTCAACCACAAACCCTTACAAAGATTGATCCATGCCAGGTACAGTGCTGGCTGCGGAGCATAAAGACTCAGTGGGGATCTGCTCTCTGTCCCTGGGTCTGAGCTGCCTGGGTTCTGGGTTCCTCCATTCTGTCCAGGGCTGACCCAAGCAGGGAAGAATCCCTGGACTTCAGGGGCACCCAAAAGGAACCTAAGTTTGGCCTGCCTCGCCAGATAGCTGCTTCCCCTTTCCCCAGGACATTGCTGGAGGGAACCGGCCCATCAGGACTAATTAACTACTCTAATGGAATGAACCCGTTTTTCCTGGAACTTAGCCCAGGTGGGAGGAATCTGTACTTTTCTAGATGGAGAAATGCTAAGTGTCAAGGGGTCTTGCCTGCCGGACCCTGGGCTAGCGTGTGTGTGGCGGGCGGCCAGCGGGGACAGGGGGGTACTCTCTGGATGCAGGCTGAGTTCCCAGCCTAGGAGCCTTAAACAAGGAGGCCTCTAGGGTCCACTCAGCTGGTGGCCCCCACGTCGTTCTCTGTCCTTGGCCCAACCCCAGCCCTAGTTCAGTCTCTCAGAGTTCGCTGCTGCTGCTTAGGCCTGACATCCCTAAGTGGGGGGAATGTGTCCATGAGCTAACACTCAGGTCCCCTCCAACCCTATGACTCCATGTCCATAGTGTATGAGGCCCTGAGCCCTGCCCAGGCCTGAGCTTCTGGTCTCTTCTCTTTAAGAGCAGGGCCCTCAAAGGTTGCCTTTGAGCCCCAGATACACCTTCACTGGGATTATATTATCCCAGCAACCCAACCCTGCTTTCAGTCCTGAGGCAGAGCCCTTCTACTGATCTTCACAAGACCTGAATCACTGGGGCTAGATTCTCCCCAGAGCCCCCTCCGACCTACAACCCCCCCGCCCCCGCCAGAAGGCTCTCACTTTTGATTTGGAGCCTGCAAGTCTCTGCAGGCTGCTTGGGGTGGGGGGAGGCAGGATGACATGAGCTGAGACGCAGACAGGAGGCTGCCAGCCTGCTCTTGCCTTCCCTTCTCTTGTTCCCCCCTGAACGGTGAGGCCCTATCACCCTCCAATGACTCTGATAAAGTAATTCAATTTTCCAGGCTGGGAGAGAGCAAGGCGTGCTGGGAAAGGATGCTGGCTCCTTGGCCTGGACCTGAAGGAGGAGGGTCAGTCCCTGGCAGGAGCTAGAATACCAAAAAGGGAAAGTGTGAGCACCACTGGATAGGACCTTGCCTTGGCCTACAGACCCTCACCACAAATGGGTTTCAAAGAAGGAAGATGGAGAGGAGATTGGATGGCTCCAGTAATTCTAAAGAGGCTGAGCCCATACAAAGCTCCCAGTGTAGAAAGGGGAAGGGTAAATGGCTTTGATTTCAGGCTCTCAGCTTCCTATGGACAGGGTCAGCCTCAGCATTCAGAGGGTGAGGACCTTATTATGGTGGGGGGGTGGGCCTGGAAAGGGTGCAGGTGCTTGACAGCCTCCATCGGTGCCCCTTTAGAATCTCCCATGGCCCTCTCTTCCTATTCTTTCGCCACACCCTCACCCCTGATGAGGGAAATCCGCTGTGGCTGACACTGTCTGTGAACTGGCTCTCAGACAGGTGCCCTTCCCTGACAGCCTGAAGAAACCAAGACACTCAGGAGAGGACAGAAGAGAAAAGGTGAAACTGAGGGAAAGAAGCTTGGGGAACTAGGAATTTCCAATAGTGGTTGCTTTGTGGTCTTGCTTAAGCCTGTCAGGCATCAAGGTTCTTGGAGGAATGAAGAAGGGAGGGGGTAGGCAGAGTCCCAATGGCAGAGTTAGGCTAGAAGAGGTACCTGAGGTCCTGGAATCAACAGGAAGCCCAGAATCAGCTGCCACCCCATCTGCCCACATCACAGCCCCCAGAGATCAGGGCAAGGTCTGGAGCCAGGACATCCTAGCACCACCAGGGGGCAGCACCCTCACATCCATAGGTTGTGTCACAGTAGCCTGGGCAGGGGGCTCTCCTATCCTTCTCCAGCTGGGCTCTGCGTTTTGAGGGAACACGAAGACCTCACACAAAGAAACGATGGGAACAAGTCCCATAGTGCTAACTGCAGCATAGCGACTCGCACAGAGAGGCACAGGTAACAGGTGAGCCCAGAGCTCTAGAATGAATCTCCAGTAAGGGTGAGGCATTCTCTAGAGGCCTCGGGACTGAGCCTGAGCTCCCCTCTCCGGAGCTGGTCAGTGCACAGAGCCAGGAGACCTGGTCCCACGCACCTTTACCCAGCTGCCTCTCTCAGGCTGGGCCCTCTGTTTTTGTCAGCTCTTCCTAGGTTCCCATGCCCATGTCCCAACTTTCTGATCTCCCTCCCCTCCTGGCCTCCTTTTTCCCTGGAAACTTTCTCCCTCTACCCATCTCCCGAGGTGCTCATCACCATCCACGAGCACTGCAGAGTGGAAGCACCAGTTGGGCAGATTTACTAGGGCGAGTGGCTGTTTTATTCACTGATGTATTTCCAGTGCCCGGAACTGCTTCTGGCATATCGTAGGTATTCTATAAGTATTCACTGAGTGAATAAGTCAATCGGGGTGGGATACTATGGATTTTTTCCCCTTACCCACTACACTTCCTTTCTTCCAATGACGGAGCTCAGTCATCCTGACTGACAGAAAGCAGGGGAGAGACCCCAAGGGACTTTGCCAGGACACAGACCAGATAGGACTTGAAAGGTATTCATTACATTAATATTCTGTGGTTCTTTCTTCCTCACTCCAGCTTCTGGCGTGTCCCGGGACTTCTCTTCCCAGTTACTCTTGGGATATTTCTTTTCACTGCAGCAAATTCAAAGCCAGCTAAACTCTGAAATACAAACATCAGTTTCGAGGAGCAGGGACTGGGCACAAAGGGGGTGCCAGAAAATGTGTGTTTCTGATTAACACACCACCCCTGTGTATCAGTACAGATCATCAAAGATCATTGCCATTTTGGTTTTCTGGCCTCATTAATAACGAGACTTGCTTGTAAAACTCCCTTGCATTGGCACTGGGCTTTTAACCTTTCCTGAGACACACACAGGCCCTTGTCTTGTTATTCCCAGTTGAGCTAGGTACTGCCTGATCTGGAAATGGGAAGGTGCACAGCTGTCCAGGGTAGGTGTGTCATTTACCTTTCATTTCTGCCTCAAGATCTCCTTACATCATCCAGACAGGCATGGAAGCTGCCTGAAGCTGTAAAAAAAATAAAAAAAAAACCATTGGGGATTAATATGAAGATGTAAAATAGGTTCTGGACTTAACAAAAACAAATGAATCTGGAAATTGCTCTTGGGATAGGGCCAGTAAAGTCCTGTTGGTGCCTATGTTTTGGGTATGGCAGCTTCTCAATCACTTAGCAAACAGGTTCTCAGAGGCAGGAACTGTGGGAGCTATCAAGATGGAAAAAGCACAATGCCGCCTGCAGGAGCTCAGGGTTAGGGAGGGGAGAGGAGGCATATACACAGGCAAAGTCAAATTTTAATGGGTGGAATAAGAGTAGAAGCAGGAGGGGGTCATGAGGCAGGACACAGGCACTTCCTATGTGGACCCCAGAGCAATGACGAGCAAAGGCTTTAACTAATGACTTTTCAAGGCTACCCACTCACCCACCCCACATCCATAACACGTTTCGCAATGAACAGAGCCAGAGCTACGGTTTCCTTCCAACTGGCACAAGAGGCGTTTCTCTGCCCCAGGCCACCCGTCCCCCATTCCATCGCGGGGGCTTTGGTGGCTGGGACAGAGGCCAAGAGCATCAAGACCATGTGCGTCTTGGGCTCCGCTGGGCCTCCGAGGCGCAGGATGCGGGGCGGGGTGCTCAGAAGGCCCCAACACGGTGCCTCGGAAAGGAGAGGACAGCCTGATCCTCGCGACAGCGTCTCTACCCTCTTTCTTCCTTGGCCTTCCATCAGCCGCAGTGAAACGGCAACACTTCGACCAGCTTGGCGGGGAGGGGGCGACGGAGCCGGGCGGAGGTTAGAGGTCAGGGGTCGAGAGTGCTTCGGGTCTGCGGGCTGCAGTGGGAGGAGCTGCGGGCCCGGGGGAGGCGGGGAGCAGGGCCGAGGGGGGCGGGAGGGGCTGCCGGCGGAGGCGCGCAGGGGCGGCGCGCTGGGCTGGGCACTGGCGGCGAGGAGGTGACGCGCTTGGTTTGGGCTCGGCTCCGGGGAGGAAGACTGCGCTCGGTCGCCGGGGCCTGCAGCTAGCCGGATCCGCCCCGCGCCGCGCCCCGCCCACCCCGCCCGCGAAGGGCGCGCCTGGGCGAGGCGGGGCCCCGGAGAAAAGGCGCCACTGGAGCGTGGCGGCCGCTGCCAGCGCCTGAGGGAGACCAAGAGCCCCTAGGGCCCCAGCCCACCAGCGCCGAGACGCCCCCTCCCCTGTGCCACCTCGCGCCCGCCCCCTGCCGCGCGCGAGCCAAGGCCGGCGCCCCGCCCGGAGATGGGCAGACGCGTAGATGGCGTGGCTCCCAGCGCCGCCAGATCGCAGGAACCCGGCGCCGGGGCGTTGCGCTGAGGCTCCCTCTCCGCGCGGCGCGGGAAGCCTGCAGGTGTCCTTGGCAGCTCGGCCGCCGCCCCGGGTACTCCTTCGTCAGTGCCCAGAGCCCCGCTCCCCAGAGCGGCCCCGCCCCCCAGGCGCCGCGCAGCGCAGGACGCCCCGTCTGAGGCCCCCCCGCCCCAGCTCGGCCCCCGCAGCGCTGCGCCGGGTCCGGCTCAGCTCCCAGCCGCGGACGCAGGACCCGAGGCTCGCTCCTGCGGGCGCGCTTGTTTTCCAGCTGCCGCCTCGCCCTGCGCAGCCCCCGCCCGCCTGGCCGCCGCGCTCTGCTCTGCCCCGCCTGCCTTCCTCGCCCGGCGCTGGATTTATGAATGGGGGGAAGAGGCTACATGCCGCCGCCGCCGCCTCGTGTTGACCGCAAGCAGCCCGGGCCCACGGAGCTCCGGCTGCCGTGAGAGTGTCAGCACGGCCCCGGCAGCCGCTCGGAGGACTTGTTGCTGCTACGCTGCCGCCGCTGCGGGGAAGCCGGCTGCTCCGGGGCTTGGTGCGGTCTGGGAGCCGGAGGGTGGCCCGTGTGAGTGTGAGCGCGCGCGCCCCGGACCTTCGCGGTGCGCCTGAACTGTGCGCTTTCTTGTCTTTGGTCGGGGTGACGGCGGGGGCGTGTCCCCGGCCCAGAGCGTCTGTCTGTCCCGTCCTAGCGGGGGACCGCGTGTGTGCTTGCTTCTACTTCCCCGGGTCCTCCCTCTCTCCGCCTCCCTCTCTCCGGAGCTTCCTGCCCTAACCCCAACCACCTGTGCACCAGAGAAATCCAACTCCTCCCGCTCCGCGTCCTAGGGGGGATAGGCAGGGGCAGGGCCACGCCGCAGAGGGGGCCGCCGCCGCCTCCTGCCTCTTCTTCGTCTCCTCCCCCTCCCCCGTCTGACGCTGCCTCCTCGGGAAGGGTGTTTGGAGGGCAGCGGCCGCCCCAAGCCGGAGCCCCGCAGCGCTTCTTATGATCAGCTCGGTGTGTGTCTCCTCCTACCGCGGGCGCAAGTCGGGGAACAAGCCTCCGTCCAAAACATGTCTGAAGGAGGAGATGGCCAAGGGCGAGGCGTCGGAGAAGATCATCATCAACGTGGGCGGCACGCGACATGAGACCTACCGCAGCACCCTGCGCACCCTACCGGGAACCCGCCTCGCCTGGCTGGCCGACCCCGACGGCGGGGGCCGGCCCGAGACCGATGGCGGCGGTGCGGGCGGCAGCGGCGGCGGGGGCTGCGAGTTCTTCTTCGACAGGCACCCGGGCGTCTTCGCCTACGTGCTCAACTACTACCGCACCGGCAAGCTGCACTGCCCCGCCGACGTGTGCGGGCCGCTCTTCGAAGAGGAGCTCACCTTCTGGGGCATCGACGAGACCGACGTGGAACCCTGCTGCTGGATGACCTACCGGCAGCACCGCGACGCCGAGGAGGCGCTCGACATCTTCGAGAGTCCGGACGGAGGCGGCAGCGGCGCGGGGCCCAGCGACGAGGCCGGCGACGATGAACGGGAGCTGGCCCTGCAGCGATTGGGCCCCCACGAGGGAGGCGCGGGCCACGGCGCCGGGTCTGGGGGCTGCCGCGGCTGGCAGCCCCGCATGTGGGCGCTCTTCGAGGATCCCTACTCCTCCCGGGCGGCTAGGGTGAGTGGCAGGAGCCCATGTCTCCCCATTTTGGGTCTGCAAGGGGCCGTGGTGGGTGGCCTGTAGGGGCTGGGAGGAGCAGGGACCGAGCCTGACTTACCTTACCACCGCAGATTGTTCCCGCCTTCCTCTCAACCCCCCTCCGAGGCCCGCAGGGGAATTACACACTCCCACCCTCTCCCCTGCACGCTCCATCAGGAGATTGCACACACTTGACTTACTACTTGGACCCAGTCCCAGCTGCCTGCTTTGCCGCATCCCCTCCAGTGAGTGGGGTGCCCAGCTCAGCTCCTCCACCACCTTCTTTGATCTGCACAGGCCGCCTTATCTTCAGCTGCCCTCCACTCCGCACAGGACTACGGTCCTGGAGAGCTGAAATTTGGCCTTTTGGTGGGGGCAGGCAAGGTTGAGAGGAAGGAAACTAGGGTGGGTTTTGTTAGATGCTTCCATGCGATGCCACCTCATTTACATCCTCCCAGCAGCTCAGTGTGCCCACAACTATGCACTTGGAGAGAGGAGGATATAGGCTTCAGCATCTTCAGCTCAGAAGAGGCAAAGCTGAGACCACAATCCGGCCTCCTTTCCAGGTTTAGGAGAGGCCTTCTTTCTCCCAGGGAGAATGCCATGCCCCCCAGGCTTCCTGCACACCTGGGATGTCCTGGCCTCAGCTGGGGTGAGAAGAAAATTAAACAGAAAGGGTCTAATGTTCTAGGCCCTGGAGGCTCCCACGGCCAGTGGCCAGCCACAGGCTTGCTGGTGATTATACCAGATTTTTGTTGCCGCTTTTCTTTCTGCTGCAGCACAAACTCTTTCCAGAAAGCCCTGGTTCAGATTACTGCTTGAAATGGGTGTATGAAGGAAGGGGGAAGCACAGGTTGATTTAGGCAAGACCTACCACCTCCTCCCCAAGTAAATCCAGTTTCCCTAACCCCTTTAGGTGGAAGGGGAAAATGGGGGAGATGCTTGCCCCATTATGCTTGGACAGCTAAAAAAAAAAAAAAAACAAAATCCCTGAAGGATGGCTTTAGATTCTTTAAAGAAAGAAAACTCTGGGGGCTGGTGTTGGATCTCATGATCAGCAGCCTAAAGCCTGGTTGGGGGTCTGTCTGGGAAACAGGAAAGAGCAATGTAACTTGTTGGGTCTGGGCACTGCTGCTTGCTGTGGAACCTGGTTGGTTCTTCCGGCATCCCAAATTGTCATGTTAATGAGTCTCAGAGCGCCCTCCCTTTCCCACTCCTGTGCTGGACTCCGTCCTAGACATAGAAGAAGGCAGGGTAGAGAATTGGGGAACAGGCCTGCAGGGAAAAGCCAGGCTGGCATAAATGCCAGGCCAGGGCAGATACATCTTCTGCCTGGAGGAGAAGGGAGGAGCAGAGGTCTCAGGGGCCGTGGCATACTGGGCTGGGGCTGCAGGCAGCCATGAGAAGGCAGGGATCTTTCGCAGGACTGAGAACAAAGCTAGAGGCAACTGCCTGGGGTTCTTTCCTTGTAGCCCTGAGACCGGCTCAGAAGGTGAGGGCACAGTGATGCCCCTGGTCTGGGTCTGCTGTGAGTTCTACGGGCTTCTTATGTAGATCACTAACCTTGCTAGTGTTAGCACTTGGCTGTCTGCATTAGGGGAGAGAGACAGGCACACATCATTCAGACTCTTTCAAAGTTGGGGGTGGGGGAGGAAAGGGAGAGCTAGAGATGGGGAAAGGGGACAAACCAGGGAAGCAGGGCTGGGATGAGGTGGTTAGGGGAGCTAGGCCCTATTTCTGAGCATTCTGGGATTTCTGGGGGCTTTTCACCTACTCTTGTTCCTCTCTGGAATTCTAAGTGGCACCCCACATATCACTGAGTTTATTTTCTTCCTAACACTGCTGAATGGCCAAGCCGGGGGGCCTCTTTGAGTAAGCTCAGAGCCTGGCCTGCCCCTTGAAGTCTTCCAGGAACCCAAGGTGTGCTTCGCCCCTTTGACATGGAATCACATCAGCCCAGGCATTCCAGTTGCGGTCTTGAAGTTTATGATGGGGTAAGGTTAATTCTTTCATTTAAACATTGAGAAAACCAGGATTCAGAGACATTAAGTTTCTTGCCAAAGACATTTAACTAATAGCAGAGCCAGGAAACCACCCCTAGTTTCCAGCCTTCTGGTTGTTCATCCTGATGTGAATATCTGGATGGAGTTCTGGTCAGCGCATGTGCCAAAAGAGGACTTGCCTCCTGCTGAGGAGCCCAGGCAAAGGCAACCCTCACCTGCTCCCGGGACACACAAGTGGGAATACATAATTTTTAAAAATTAATGAATAACTGCTCATTATTGAGCACCCCAGACAGATACATTGCTGTGTATACTTTACATTAATCTCTAATCCTCCCAATAAACTTAAAACCCAGTGATTATCCCTGTTTAATGGATTGAGGCTGTGAGAAGGTAAACAGTTGCCTGAGATCACATAGCCAGATAGTGGCCAGGCTTTGAATCAAAGCCAGAGTCCCTGACTCCCAAGCCCTTGCTCTTGTGATTACAACACCTTCTTTCCACTGAACTAGGCTGTTTTTGAGGCAGAGAGCTTGTTTCTTCCTCTGGCCTGAGAGGTGTCCTTCTAAGGTTCTGTAACTCCTGTGGATGGCATCAGAAAACCCAGGGGCAGATGGAGACGTCAGAAGGAAGACTTACTGTATTACCCCTCCAGGCCTGAGGGTACTGTGCCATGCGGGGAGTTCTGGGGCTGCACTTTCCCCCCTCCATTTGCCCCTGGCTAGTCACGCTGTCCGTTTCTTCCCACCCCTGTTCCCCTGGGTATGTGTGCTTCCTTCCCTCGCTCACAGCTGCCTCCTTCCTAGAAGGGCCCACAGCACTGTGGGGTGGTGGGCGAAGAGGGGCAGAGGAGCAGTGCTCTGCCCTGAGGCATCCTTTCGCACACATCAACCTGGTCATTCGAGTAGTGCATTATGACAGGAGCAAAATGATACAAATGGAAAGTGAACTGAGCTGATTATGAGAGCTTGTTGCCTAGCTACAGACCTGGCCCAAGGAGCTGTTCCGCTCAGGCAGGCTCCTGGGCTGGGATGCTCAACCCTGCTCCACTGTGCTGGGCCCATGGGCAGCTGCTGCTGTGGTTCTGTTTCTGTGGCCTGAGCTGGGAACAGGCACGAGGGGCAGACTGGTCCTGTCCCCACCTGCCTACTGCCCAGGGCAGAGTGAAGGCTCACCATGGAGACTTCACAGCCTCAGGGGGCCCAGTGGAGGTTTGGCAGCGTCCAGAGCTTTAGAAACCTGCACCTTCTTTTCTGAGAGCGGACAAGAGGCCTGAAGAACGGGGCCAGGACGCCCTTCCCCTACGCAAGTCTCCAACGTCTCCGGGGCAGGGCTGGCTTTAGCTCAGCTATCAGCCTTATTAAGGATTACAGTTCCTCTCCTTTGGCTAAATCAGCGCATTTTTCCTGTGCTGTTTCCCTTTTGAGTAGAGGAGGGGACCCACAGGAACTCCCTGCTCCATGAAGGCAGCTCCAGCAGGGTCCTCCTCTTTGTTAAGTGTCAGTTACTATGTGGGAGGCTTGGCCTGTGCTTTCTGCTACTACTCATCTGGCCTAGGTGAGGCAGGTATTGTTAACATCTGTATATCAGTATACAGATGAGGAAACAGGCCTGGCGAGGCTTTCTCAAGGTCACACCGCTTGTGGTAGAAGTAGGATCCAAACCCAGGTCTCATGAATCTAAGTCCGTGCTCCTCTTGTGGCCTCTGGCTCCTGCCCAGAGAGGATCTCTGGCTTCCAGAGGGTGGCTCCTCACTGGAGAGCTTCTTCCTCCACTCTGCTCTTATCTCTTCCTTTACTTCTCACTCCCTAGAATTACTCAAGTCGTTACCTCTCTTCTTTTTTTTTTTTTAAACTATGCCATTCTGTTTATTTGAAATTCTACCCTAACCTCTCTTCTTACTGTGGTATTTCCATAGGAAAAATGAAGGGAGGCATGGTTAGGAGAAAAGACTGAGGGAAGCTCCCTCGCCCAGGCAAAGCATGAAACCAAGGCCTTCTAGGAAAGGAGCAGAGCTGCATTCTTGCCTGCCGCTTCTGAAGCTCCCTGGCTTCTCTGGTCTGGGCATTGCCTGGGGGACAGGTCAGTGGTCACAACAGACTTTAGATTGAGGGCCAGTACTCACTGATGCTGTGCCCTCTGAGCTGGGGTGAGCCAGGAACGTGAGCGCAGGAGGGCAGCACCCTGGCTTTCTGAGCTCCCCAGGAGGGCAGTGCCAGCCTGCCCTGGGCAGCGTCTCCACCTCCTTCCTGAGGAGCAGGCAGGGGCCAGGCTGAAGGCTGCAGGACTCCCTGCACACCCTGCCCTCAGGGCAACCTCCCGGTTTCCTCTTGGGTTTGTTTTCTTCTCTTCTCTTGTTCTGAACAAACCAACATTTGTCTCTGAACATCTTTTCTCTGAATGCTGAGGTGTTTCTGGTTGTCACATTTGGGGTGGGGTGTGGAGTAGGGGAAGGGGAGAAAATAGACGAGCTATTTTGGAGACTTGGGGGAAGAGCAGGCAGGCAGGAACAGAGCCAGGCAGCTTGGCCTTGAGGGTAGGAGACTCTGAGCCCTTCACCCCCACCCATGGGCAGTGTCAGCCTGGGATGCTGGGCACCAGAGCTCTGTGCCACCCTTATTCCCTGTGCGTAACTGACTTGCCATGACCTCTGGCCCTGCTCCCTTCTGGAATTTTCTTCTGGCTAAGGGGTGGTCACCTGGTCTCTAGCAAGGGTCCTTATCAGGAAGTGGACCTGCCTCACCCTGGAGGGCAGCAAAGGTCCTAGGGCCCCAGTCCCTAGAGGTATTACTGGGCGTATACCCTTGTCACTTCGTCCCAGTCAGTGGGTCTGACGACCTCTTCTTCTGACAGGCTCACCAGGACCAAGAGAGAGAGCAGGGGGTCAGCTTGGCCCCAGTCATTCAGAAAACACTTACTGCACACTTACCATACATATGCCATACACACGTGGGGTTCTAGAAATCCAAAGATGAG